GCGGCCAGGCCCCGCCATTGTCCTCTTAGCAATCTCTCCTTCTACACCACCGATCCTCGCGAGCGAATTCACCATCGCCCATCTCCGAAGCTTCAGTGCATCGGCAACCGCAAACTCGCGACTCGGAATCGGACTCGAACTCGGGCTCAGGCTCGAACTCGAACTCGGACTCGGACTCGGACTCGGACTCTTCGTCGTTACGACTCCGCCGGAACTGATTCCAGATCTCCGGTGGCGAGCGCACCGGAAGGACCCAGGGTGCGTAGTAGGGGAGCACAAGCACGTGGGCCGTGGCTTTTGATGGCCGGAAACGGGGGGGCGGGCGGCGGAGGAGAAGGAACGATGGTGAGGAAAGGAGTGGGTTTGGTTGAGGTGATGGAATCTTTCGGTAGTCGCCATTGTCAGAGAATGAGAATGTTTGAGATTCTTTTTGCTTCGAGTGCTCTATTTATTGAGGGACCTCAGGCGGTTGCGACTTCTTGAAGGGTAAATTTGTAATGTTTCCTAGATCCTGATCTTTCCTTTTTTTTTTTTTATAAATCTTTTGAACACTTGAGCCATTGTGTTTGATTTTCCTTTTTTTATATTTTTAGTAAGGTTTTCCCTTGATTTTCGGGCTATACTAATATCCATATCAATAATTTTTTTTTTTTTGAAATTATTAGCAATACCGATATTATTAGTTAAATAAAATATATTTTCGCCATGATAATCCAGTTTATTTTTTTCCCCCACGAGGCATGAATGTATAAAACCTAGCCCTACTGGGAATTGAAAAGAAGAAACACCAAATCAAGGAAATTTATAGCTGTTTAGAAAAGGAAATAGGATGAGCAATTTTTTTTAAAAAAAAATGTATAAAAACGAAAGAAAAATAATGCAAAAATTGGATAATAAAAAAAGATAGCTTGCAGAAGAAGCTACCTATGCAGGAGCCCTCAAATTCGGGAAACGACGAGTTGTGTTTATCCATGGAAGTTGAAAGTGAAGCGTCGTCTTCTCCATTTCCATTGAGAAAGTGAAGAAGAATAACTGAAACATGGGAAGTTTCCATTTTGATGAGAAGGTTTTCAAGTGTGACGTTTTCGTATCAAAGCTTGGTTTCGCAATCAGTCGGGGACATTCTCGAGAAACCCAAGTCCGATTCAAGGACTTTTGAAGAAAAAAAATTGAATCTTGTGGTTTTGTCACCAAGAAGAACTTTTGAAGAAGTAAAAAAACCATATTTGTACCAATGCAGAAACTTGATGTTGAAAGGTTCGATGACAAAAGGGGATTTACAAAAATGACTTTAAATGTCATTTTTATTTCACGTGATGACCTCCACTTAAAAAAAAAAAGACTACATCATGTGATAACCTTATAATAATATATTTCCAAAAATATCCTTCATTTTTTATTTATTATTAAATTAAAAAAAATAAATTTCAGCTCTCTCTCCTCTCCCGCTCCTCTCTCTCCTCATCCGCTCTCTCTTCTCTCCTGTTCGGTAGTTTTCACTCTCTTCATCTCCAGTCTTTTTTTAACTAATTTGTTGCGAAAAACAACATTAAACTTGGGCATTTCATCGATTCAACACAGATCTGAATAAAAGGTAAGTATTGTTTCTAAATTTGGTTATTAAGTTTGGGCATTTGTGATTTATTATTTTATCATTTTGATATTTAATCCATATGAATATGTTTGAAGCAAAAATGACATATATATCAGCAATACCATGATTCACGTTATTCAAACTGGTCGAAATCATTATATTTGTGAACATGATTCACGTTATTCAGACTGGTCGAAATCATTATATTTGTGAAATTCGTTAAAATGGGAGAATTCGGGAAACTGGTAACATATACATGTCGAAATGGTCAGACTAGTCATACTCCTAACTGGTCATACTTGTCAAAATTGGTCAAACTGGTCATACTCGTGAAATTGGTCAAACTGGTAATACTCATCAAACCTGTGACATTTTTCAAGCGTATCATTTTATCACATTTTGTGTTTATTTTATACAGGTGTAATGGATGCAACTAATGAAAGGATGACGATTATTTATTATAAATCTGGTGGCAAGTGGGTAGTAAATTCGATCGGAGCATATGAATGGGAAGGAAAAGCTAAAGATGCTAAAGGAGTGATATTCCCTTGTCATCCGATTGACTGAATCACTTATGATTTGTATAGTATTACTCGCACCTTTACTCTTGAGATCAGGACTCGCAATAATATTGTGTTTATCAACATCTACACAAATCACAGCCCCATGTGGTCTATTTGATGGCCCAACACCACTGGCAAAATCTGGAACAAAACATTCTCCACCATGTTTATGTCTAACTTCAACTTCCCCGCTCAAATTTACTTTTTCAATCTCCACATATAGCATGCTTCTTCCTCCGTTGAATTTGTCCATCAGATAAACAAAGACTTGTTTGTCGCTCGATATGTCGCCAGTGGTGTTGGGCCATCAAATAGACCACATGGGGCTGTGATTTGTGTAGATGTTGATAAACACAATATTATTGCGAGTCCTGATCTCAAGAGTAAAGGTGCGAGTAATACTATACAAATCATAAGTGATTCAGATTATGAACAGACTATTGTTTTAGGAGAACATGGAATGGATGAAGAACATGCAACTGTTTTAAGAGATGTTGATGGTGAAAGAGATAGAGATGGGGATGATGCAATCGATATGGCATGTGAAACCAATAAAGTTGATGGTTGTGTATCATTTGGCAATGATGTTGATGGCGAGAATAATTTGGCATTGGTAGTTACGGAGGACACATCGTTTTCTATTTCGGTATTCAATTTCAGTGATGGATTGAATTTTAGTATTGGCTACGAATTTGAAAGCAAGGAAGCAGCACAAGAATATGTACGGAAGGGTGCGGTTAAGGCATGTTTTGGTTTTGTGACAGTGAAGTCTACTAAGAAATTATGGGATTTAAGATGCAAGTTTCAAGGTTCAGGTTGTAACTGGAGATTGCGTATCGCAGCGATTTCGAATTCCACACGTTTTAGTGTAAGGTCACATAATCCCATTCATACTTGCAGACCTGTAGCCGAAGCCGAAACAAGTACGAAGGGTTCATCGATGTTGGTTAGAGATTATTTGAATGAAGAATTTTCTGGTAAGCTTGAAACTCCTACACCAAAACAGATAGTAGAACGGATGAAAGTAAAATACGGTGCGACAGTATCGTATATGATGGCATTAAGAGGAAAATATAGTGCTCAAGAAGAGATTCGTGGTAGTCATGAGGAACACTACAGTAGGCTTCCTGGTTGGTTGTACATGTTGACAGAAAGAAATCCTGGAACTAGAGTGAGTCTTCAGTTAGACGATGATCGTAAAAGCTTCAAGTACCTCTTCATTGCCCTAGGTGCAACCATAAATGGATGGAAGTATATGCGTAAAGTGATTGCTATTGATGCAACATTTCTGACGAGTCAATATAAAGGAGCATTAGTCGTGGCAACTGCTCAAGATGGTGATCATCACCAATATCCTTTGGCTTGGGGTGTGATTGATAGAGAGAAAGATGCCTCATGGTTATGGTTTATGACAAGATTGAGCGAAGTAATATTGGATGGTCCCGATATAGTTGTGTTATCTGATCGACATAAAAGTATAATTAAAGCTGTGAGAGAAGTATACAAACAAGCGCAACATGGATTTTGTGTGAGGCATATATCACAAAACTTAAAAGTCCATTGTAACAAAGGTGCAAGAAGAAAAAGTTCAACTGGTGAGACTATCAGTAAATTGTTCTTTAAATGCGCAGCTGCATACACGATCAACGATTTTGAAGTGCTTTACAATGATATGAAGAAAATGTACGATTTTTGTTACTCGTATGACCAGTTTCTATCTAGTCTGACCAGTTTTACTGCTTTTATTTGTGAACTAATGTGAATATATCTCATAATTTGTAGATATCACAAGGTGGCTGAATATATGGAAAAGGATAGTATTACTCGCACCTTTACTCTTGAGATCAGGACTCGCAATAATATTGTGTTTATCAACATCTACACAAATCACAGCCCCATGTGGTCTATTTGATGGCCCAACACCACTGGCAAAATCTGGAACAAAACATTCTCCACCATGTTTATGTCTAACTTCAACTTCCCCGCTCAAATTTACTTTTTCAATCTCCACATATAGCATGCTTCTTCCTCCGTTGAATTTGTCCATCAGATAAACAAAGACTTGTTTGTCGCTCGATATGTAAACCGGCTCAACATATCCTTTTATTGTAGGCAAATAACTTAGCTTGATTTTGGATTTATCTTCGTCTATATCCATGTCAGAATATAACTCTTCAACGAGGCGGCTGTAACTCAAATCAATCGGATGACAAGGGAATATCACTCCTTTAGCATCTTTAGCTTTTCCTTCCCATTCATATGCTCCGATCGAATTTACTACCCACTTGCCACCAGATTTATAATAAATAATCGTCATCCTTTCATTAGTTGCATCCATTACACCTGTATAAAATAAACACAAAATGTGATAAAATGATACGCTTGAAAAATGTCACAGGTTTGATGAGTATTACCAGTTTGACCAATTTCACGAGTATGACCAGTTTGACCAATTTTGACAAGTATGACCAGTTAGGAGTATGACTAGTCTGACCATTTCGACATGTATATGTTACCAGTTTCCCGAATTCTCCCATTTTAACGAATTTCACAAATATAATGATTTCGACCAGTTTGAATAACGTGAATCATGGTATTGCTGATATATATGTCATTTTTGCTTCAAACATATTCATATGGATTAAATATCAAAATGATAAAATAATAAATCACAAATGCCCAAACTTAATAACCAAATTTAGAAACAATACTTACCTTTTATTCAGATCTGTGTTGAATCGATGAAATGCCCAAGTTTAATGTTGTTTTTCATCGTACATTTTCTTCATATCATTGTAAAGCACTTCAAAATCGTTGATCGTGTATGCAGCTGCGCATTTAAAGAACAATTTACTGATAGTCTCACCAGTTGAACTTTTTCTTCTTGCACCTTTGTTACAATGGACTTTTAAGTTTTGTGATATATGCCTCACACAAAATCCATGTTGCGCTTGTTTGTATACTTCTCTCACAGCTTTAATTATACTTTTATGTCGATCAGATAACACAACTATATCGGGACCATCCAATATTACTTCGCTCAATCTTGTCATAAACCATAACCATGAGGCATCTTTCTGGCTACGAATTTGAAAGCAAGGAAGCAGCACAAGAATATGTACGGAAGGGTGCGGTTAAGGCATGTTTTGGTTTCGTGACAGTGAAGTCTACTAAGAAATTATGGGATTTAAGATGCAAGTTTCAAGGTTCAGGTTGTAACTGGAGATTGCGTATCGCAGCGATTTCGAATTCCACACGTTTTAGTGTAAGGTCACATAATCCCATTCATACTTGCAGACCTGTAGCCGAAGCCGAAACAAGTACGAAGGGTTCATCGATGTTGGTTAGAGATTATTTGAATGAAGAATTTTCTGGTAAGCTTGAAACTCCTACACCAAAACAGATAGTAGAACGGATGAAAGTAAAATACGGTGCGACAGTATCGTATATGATGGCATTAAGAGGAAAATATAGTGCTCAAGAAGAGATTCGTGGTAGTCATGAGGAACACTACAGTAGGCTTCCTGGTTGGTTGTACATGTTGACAGAAAGAAATCCTGGAACTAGAGTGAGTCTTCAGTTAGACGATGATCGTAAAAGCTTCAAGTACCTCTTCATTGCCCTAGGTGCAACCATAAATGGATGGAAGTATATGCGTAAAGTGATTGCTATTGATGCAACATTTCTGACGAGTCAATATAAAGGAGCATTAGTCGTGGCAACTGCTCAAGATGGTGATCATCACCAATATCCTTTGGCTTGGGGTGTGATTGATAGAGAGAAAGATGCCTCATGGTTATGGTTTATGACAAGATTGAGCGAAGTAATATTGGATGGTCCCGATATAGTTGTGTTATCTGATCGACATAAAAGTATAATCAAAGCTGTGAGAGAAGTATACAAACAAGCGCAACATGGATTTTGTGTGAGGCATATATCACAAAACTTAAAAGTCCATTGTAACAAAGGTGCAAGAAGAAAAAGTTCAACTGGTGAGACTATCAGTAAATTGTTCTTTAAATGCGCAGCTGCATACACGATCAACGATTTTGAAGTGCTTTACAATGATATGAAGAAAATGTACGATTTTTGTTACTCGTATGACCAGTTTCTATCTAGTCTGACCAGTTTTACTGCTTTTATTTGTGAACTAATGTGAATATATCTCATAATTTGTAGATATCACAAGGTGGCTGAATATATGGAAAAGGAAGAACTTGCTCCCGAAAAATGGGCAAGGTGTAAATTCAAGAGTGAAAGGTATAACTTGTTAACCACCAACGGAGCCGAGTCGATTAACTCCGTCTTGAAGAAGGCAAAAAAGTTTCCATTGCTATGTCTGCTAGATATTTGTCTCGAAAAGACGGTGGAATGGTTCAATAGGTACAGATTGGAAGCCGGTAGTGGTGATCAATCGCAAAAGTTAACACCGTTTGTTTACAAAGAACTACATGAACGATACGAGAAAGCATGTACATTTGAGGTTCAAGAACTGAACAGTATTAGTGGCGAGTTCGAGGTGAGAGATGATAAAGGTAGAAGACACTTGGTTCATCTGGGAGCTAGAACGTGCAGTTGTAAAATGTTTGATGTGGATAGGTACCCTTGCAGTCATGCAATTGCAGCAGCACATACGATCGGAAAAGCCGATATGATATACGAATTATGTTCTGCATACTATTTGCGCGAGACATGGCGTTTGGCTTATCAAGAGACAGTGTATCCAGTTCCTGATTGTAGTGATTGGATCCTTCCACCCGACGTTGCAAATATGACAGTTTTACCGCCCATAGTGGAACAAAGACAAAAAATTGGAAGGCCTAAGCAAAACCGATTTCCTGGACCTGGCGAGGCTCGAAAGAAGAACGTTCGATAGGTTCAGCCAACATATCATTGTCATAAGATCATGTGGGTGGAATGTATTTCTGATTTTGTATTTGGTATGACTGGTTTGACCAGAGTATGACTGTCTCGACGATTTTGATAAATGAGTTTGATTATGTAGGTGTAATGTACATTTAAATTCGTATTTCCGTATTTGTATTTGATATCTCTACTTTGACCATATTATCATATGATTCTGTGGGTTTAATGTACTTTTTTAAACCGATGAATCTCGCAATTTCGAATAGGTCTGACCGTCTGACCATGGTATGACCATCTGACTGTCTGACAGTCTGACCATTCTGGTACAAAAAAAAAGACCTAAATTAAATTCAAACGATTAGAAAAGTTGTATAAGGGTTATAAGAATACATTTTCATCGTTTTAGAGTTCTAATTTCGTGTGAAAAAAAAAAATCTACCAACATAAATCAATTGTGTCCAATGTGTTACACAAACACTACTAGTAGTTTAGGTCTTCTTTGGAAAGAGTTACTTTTGCATCAAAAGAAGATGCTCAGTCCATATTGCTACGACCAATTTCAACTAGATAAATCGATCATACGAGATGATTATTACGATGTTAACACTTTTAAACCGATGAATCTCGCAATTTCGAATAGGTCTGACCGTCTGACCATGGTATGACCATCTGACCGTCTGACAGTCTGACCATTCTGGTACAAAAAAAA